ATGTCAACCAAGCCACAGTCATATTACCACTACAAGTGGTTAGTCAACAAGGATCGATACCCGTTATCCCCGGGTCAGAATTTCGCAGACACCAGCTCAGACCTACGTCGTCGTTCGCTTGACGGCGACGGTGCTGCTGCTGGCTCTGACCTCGGCCGAACCCCAAGGAGGTTACTTGCCTCCCGCCACGAAACCCCACCTGCCCTGTATTCACCTCAGTAGTCTACGACGCCCAGATTCAAACCTCTGTCGACGTTCAGATTGTCAACCAAGCCAATACCCAGTATATTACCACTACAGTGGTTAGTCAACAGATCATACCGACCACTTTTATCCGAACTCGATATTTCACCAACACTCAGTTCCAGACGAGTATCGTCCAACAAACAACCACAGTTTTCGACAATAGGGTTGCGACACAAACCATCCCGGGTCAGGCCGTCCAGCAGACACGCTTCGTCACTTCCACTCGCGTCGTCCCCCAAGTCAGCTACGTCACTCAGACTCGGACGGAGACCCAGGTGGTGCCGGTGGAAGTCACACGCACGCAGGTGCAGACCATCAACAGACCCTTCACGGAGTTTCTGACGCAGACGACCTACGAAACCCGTCTCGTTACGATACCCGGGCGTGACGTGGTCCGAACCCGCGTCCAGACCCGCCTGCTGACCTCCGTTATCAGGCAGCAGCAGCAGGGCAACACCCGCTACGTCACCTCGACCCGCGTCCAGCAGGAGGTGCAGACTCGCTTCGTCCCCGGCCAGAATGTGGTGAGCACGACGGTGGTGCGTCGCGAGCAGGTCGTCCCGTACACGGACGTGACCACGCGCTTCTCGAACGTCGTCGTCACCCGAGAGCAGGTCGTTACGCGAACCAACTACGCCACGCAGACCCGCGTCCAGACCCAGGTGGTGCCCCAGGAGGTCGTTCGCACCCAGGTGGTCCCAACCACCATCTTCACCACGCGCTTCGAGACCCGATTCCAGCCCTTCACGCAGGTGCAGACGGTGACGAGCACGAACTTCAGAACAGGTCCCGCGGTGGTGCAGACCCGAGAGCAGACCCAGACGTCCGTGGTGCAGGCTCCGGGTCAGGACCGGGTCATCACCAGCGAGGTCGTCCAGACTTCGGTGCGACAGGAGGTCACATTCCAGACGGTCGGTAGCCCTCAGCAGGTGACTGTCACAAGAACAGTGACCGCTTCCTGTGGCCAGGCTGGAGGTGGGGTTGGCGGAGCAGGGGAGGTGCTTTGGTGGGTCAGTGGAGGGGGCGCAAGTGGAGGTTTTGGTGGGTCAATGGAGGTGGATTTGGCGGATCAAGTGTGGATTTGGCAAGTGGAGGTGGATTTGGCGGGTAGTGGAGGTGGATCAAGTGGAGGTGGATTTGGTGGGTCAAGTGGAGGTGGATTTGGCGGATCAAGTGGAGGTGGATTTGGTGGGTCAAGTGGAGGTGGATTTGGCGGATCAAGTGGAGGTGGATTTGGCGGATCAAGTGGAGGTGGATTTGGTGGGTCAAGTGGAGGTGGGGGTTGGCGGTCGGATCAAGTGGAGGTGGATTTGGTGTAGGTGGAAGCGGGTTTGGTGGATCAAGCGGAAGTGGATTTGGTGGAGTAGGCGGAAGTGGATTTGGTGGAGTAGGCGGAAGTGGATTTGGTGGAGTAGGCGGCACCGGCTTTGGCGGGCAAACTGGTGGTGGATCCTTCGGCGGTCAAGGCGGATATAATTACAACTCTCCGAGGAATCCGCTGTCCGTGGGATAAAAGCAATGTATTAAAACACAAACACATCCGCACATTATGGTTGTCGTCTCAATCCGAAGTAAATTATTTTGTCCTCTTTGTGACACAACAAAGTGCTCTCTGTGTTGCGTGTGTATATATCCTAATTTTACCTAATTTTATTTTATTATTGTTCATTAAAGTTTTAATAATGTTGTAATTCTTGTTTGTCTCTTTATCCTCAAGAAAATTGGATATCAGCGTTCCGCAGAAGATGTAAGTATAGAATAGTTGATATAGTCAGTTGATGGCGATGGATGCGTTTTGTTTATATGAGGTTCCTTGATATTTCACTAATTATATATATGATAATAATAATAAGCATATGAATAAATTTTCGGTTAATTATGACAACAGTAATGATGCTAGCGAAAGTGGTTGCGTCACTAGTGCAGTAGTCTCGCTTCTTTTATATTTGTTTTTTTCCTGGCAGGATGTGGCTGACTCTGGCGTTCCTGCTGGCGGCCAGCGGCGTCGAGACGGGCGCCGACCGGCTGCCTCGAAGTCTTCTCGGCCAAGGGATCAATCTACAGCCCTCCGGGGGATACCTGCCTCCGGTGCCCACGCCCGGGGGTTGCCAGCCCTCCACCGTTTATCAGACTCAAGTCCGTTACTCCACCGTAGTTGTTCCTTCCACCATCTACAACAACAACCCACAGTATGTGACCCAGACCCAGTACAGCGTTCAGCAGGTGTATTCGACTGTCTTTTCAGAGGTCGTCG